TTTTTTTATCCTAAAGACATGATCACAGCATGGATGCCTTCAGCAATTATGACCTCCTGGATGCCTTCACGGGCAGAAAGGTGGCTGAGGGACATAAAGCCAGTTTTTCTGTCTGGAGGACACCAGCTGTGATCCCGGTGTGAGGAGAAGATACGCCTGCACAGCTCACACACAGGTTAAGAGAATAAAGTTACTCGCGTAAAACGTGTTATTTTGATACAAATAAGCCATTTATTAGCCGGTTTGGAACTATTGTTTTTTGTGGAGCAGGGATTGGGCCCAGGCTGCTATGACACCTACACTCTAAAAAATGCTGGGTTGTTTCAACCCAACGTTGGGTCAAATATGGACTAACCCAACTTTTGGGTTAAAACTTTCATTAAAAAATTTAACCCAACAGTTGGGTTAGTCCATATTTGTCCCAATGTTGGGTTGAAACAACCCAGCATTTTTTAGAGTGTACCATGCCAACATCGACTGTCAATGGATTGATATTACAGATGTTTCTCCTGGAGATTATATGTTAAAAGAGAGTTATCAATTGGTCATTATTTAGCCGTACCAAAAATTAGAAACATGTTTTTTTAAACTATGCGACCCATTGACAGGTAACCGTGAACCCAGGTTTCCAGGTGCAAGAGTCTGATTTCTCCAATAACGTTGTTAGATGTGACATCAGGGTCATACGTTCAAGCAAATAACTGCAGAACCACAGGGTGAGTTTAAAGAACGCGTTGAATCAGAAGTTTCTTTATCACTGCAAACACTTTAATGATGTTTATTTATTTCACAGATACTGATCCAGTTGACTTCATTCAAACCTCCAGTGGTGCTCGGAGTTGAAATCATCCAAGCACGTTATTCAAAAAAATCCATATCGTTATGGATAGATTAGCTATAACTTGACTTATTTTTACTTAATTTATGTTCTCAGCAGACACTCTTTTAGTAAAGTGACTGTGACATATTCAGTAAAAGCTAAATGTTTAATAAATGCCAATAATGCTTAAGAAATCTTCTATTTTTTAATGCTGTAATTAGGTGTAGACCTTGGTGCTAAAGTTTTAGAAAACCTCAAGTAAATAATCACAACATGTATGCTTTGTTCAAAGAAATAAATTAGAAATAACGTTGAGAGCTCACCCAGATTTTTATGGTCCATTCGTTTAGTCATAAATATGTTTTACTACTAGTTTATCTTGTTTTAACCACTGGGTCATACATTAATAATCTTCTGAAGTAATTGTGGTCACGGCCCATTTAAAAATGGGTCTATGGTGTAAAATCAACACAGCCAGACATCAGAGTCATGAAAGTTCGGTTTGCTCAAGCTCTCCAAACATGCTGAGAGTGCAACAAAGCCGCCAGAAACGTTCCCTTCTGCTTGGACATTTAAAATAACACGAGAAAGAGAAATTCCAGAGCCGTCGTGGACAGAGAGAGACATTCATACGAGAGCTGAATTCAGAAGGAAACTCTGTCACGGCGTGTTGACTACGGAGAAGAATTCTATTGGGCTTTTTGAAACGAGCCACAACCTGAGCAGCTGGGAAATTTGACGTTAATTGAAATAAAATAAAAACAATCCACAAGGGGGCTACTGTAAATCACAGGTACTCACTTGAAGAGAGCTAGTCTCAGGAAAAACTGACATGCTGACGGTGAATGATGCTCGGAGAAGGGAAAAACATCTCTGATAAATAGTGGGATCTTTAAGTAAAATAATAACATTATGAAAAATAAGCATGAAATAAGCTAATAAAAACATGCACGGTTACTAGTTAAACCATGGTATCCACAGATTAACCATGGCTTTTCTACACTAACCATAGTTAAACTATGGTCTTTGCAGTAAAACTGTGGTTATACAAATGGTAATCAATACACCAAAAAACCATGTTACTACACTATTACTATAATAAAACCATGGTTCATTTGCATAAGGGTAGCATATAGGTTATCTTTTCCATTGCAATGCATGAAGATATTTCTGCATAATCACTTCTAAAACAATAACATTACCAACGATGTTCGGATTTTAAATGACAACTCGACTGATTAATAGCATGTTCAAATATCTAATGTAAATGTTCAAATAAAGTCTAATAAAAAGGTAAACCTCACATTTCAGCCTTTAAATAAAGAAAAGGGTTAAGTCAAAATGATAATTGATTCATTTGGGGAAGTCGTGGTTAGAGAGTCGGACTCGTAACCCAAAGGTTGTGGGTTTGAGTCTCGTACCGGCAGGGATTGTAGGTGTGGGGGAGTGAATGTACAGCGCTCTCTCCCACCTTCAATACCACGACTGAGGTGCCCTTGAGCAAGGCACCGAACCCCCAACTGCTCCCCGGGCGCCGCAGCATAAATGGCTGCCCACTGCTCCGGGTGTGTTCACTTAGGATGAGATAAATGCAGAGCACTAATTCCGAGTATGGGTATCACGTCACTTTTAATAAATGATTTATATGTATTTTATCTGCTCCATAAATAATTCTAGATAACTTATCTGAATTGTTTAAATGTGTAGAATCCACATAAGCTTGTTTTTCATCAACCGGTTGAAATTTACAGCAGGGCATGCAGATTCGGTCCGTTTTTGGCCAGACAGAAACTGCACACAGGCTGAACGTAAATATAGGTCTCTGTAAATCCACTCGCTGACAGCAGGTGGCGCTTATGGAAAAGCTGAATTCGAGCTGTTTCCCGTAAACTCTGTAGACAAAGCAGCATTGCGATTAAGAACACTTCCTTTAGGTATTACATGGAGCGACAATGAAAACAATGCCATCGAATCGTTTCTGAAGACAGTCAGAACCTTCAGAGGTACATTCATATAATTAATTAATTAATATATTCATTTGTATAATTCCTTTAGCACTCTTTTAAAACCTTTTCACTCAAAACTAAACTACTCTGCGTGCTGTGTGCACGTTAAAACTGTGCTTTATGCTGGACAGTATTTTAGTTATGGCGAGTTGTTCAAATCGCGGTAATCCAATACGGTTTTAATGATAATTAAAAGATGAAACGGTAATACTAACCGTGGGGAATTTTATCATGATTAATCGTAAAAAACGGTAATCGTTACATCCCTACTCACCTGCATGTAATTCCGACACCGTATGACTTGATTTCTTCTGTGAAACCCCCCAAATTTTAATGAATCTCCGAGCTGCTCTTTTCTAATGAATGAAAGTGGATGGAGATGTGAAGAAACGAAAAGGCTAAGAAAGTCATCATAAAGTAGTCTGTATTACTTGACCATGGCTAAATACCCTGATAGCACACATACATCATGGCGACGTCTATTTGACATTTGCATTTACATCTGCAAGACATATTTTTAGGGTGTTTGCTCATATGCAATGCATCTATAGGACATTTTTCAGATGTTAATTAGATGTCTTTAAGATGTTTATGATTTAGAATGTATGTAGAACTGACATCTTACAGATGTCTGTCAGATGTTTGTACACAGCAGATGCTTTCCAGATCAAGCGATCTATAACGGGCGTCTTGCAGACGTACGTGTGCTATCTATACACTAAAGCCCCGTTCACACCAAGAACGATAACGATATTTGCGTCCACACCAGCGAAGAAACCCCCCAAATTTTAATGAATCTCCGAGCTGCTCTTTTCTAATGAATGAAAGTGGATGGAGATGTGAAGAAACGAAAAGGCTAAGAAAGTCATCATAAAGTAGTCTGTATTACTTGACCATGGCTAAATACCCTGATAGCACACATACATCATGGCGACGTCTATTTGACATTTGCATTTACATCTGCAAGACATATTTTTAGGGTGTTTGCTCATATGCAATGCATCTATAGGACATTTTTCAGATGTTTATTAGATGTCTTTAAGATGTTTATGATTTAGAATGTATGTAGAACTGACATCTTACAGACGTCTCTCAGATGTTTGTACACAGCAGATGCTTTCCAGATCAAGCGATCTATAACGGGCGTCTTGCAGACGTACGTGTGCTATCTATACACTAAAGCCCCGTTCACACCAAGAACGATAACGATATTTGCGTCCACACCAGCGATCCAGTCTGTTTATTCTAAGCGCACGCTCGTCTGCCGCTTTAAATTCTCGAGCTAGTTACAGCAGGATGGATTCTGATTGGGTGTCAATTCTTTTTATTGTTCATCAGCTAGAAAACATTGTTCTGAAAGTGATTCCAACGATATCGTTTCTCTGTGCCTTTATCGTTATAGCTGTGGTGTGGACTCTGCTATTCTTTAATATTGAGAACGATTTTTAGAACTATATATTTTTCGTTATCTTTATCCACCTTTTTCTTCCCGTAAGAGTGGGTGCGGCCATTTGTAAATTCTATGGGTCTAGCTTCCGGTCTCATCCGCGTTCAGCTATTTTTAGCTGTACAGAACTGCTCCTTTTGCTGCTTGATATTGAAAATTGGTTATTGGTGATTATGTTGATGTATTATCTTAATCATGAACACAGTGGTTTGTAGTGCAAACAGTTTTACTGTTTACTGCACATTGTTATTCTCGTTATTTCCCTATTAGCCGCTGGCTAATGAACCAGAAGTCTCACCCATAGGCTTACTTCCGCGTTGAAAGTGATTCCAACGATATCGTTTCTCTGTGCCTTTATCGTTATAGCTGTGGTGTGGACTCTGCTATTCTTTAATATTGAGAACGATTTTTAGAACTATATATTTTTCGTTATCTTTATCCACCTTTTTCTTCCCGTAAGAGTGGGTGCGGCCATTTGTAAATTCTATGGGTCTAGCTTCCGGTCTCATCCGCGTTCAGCTATTTTTAGCTGTACAGAACTGCTCCTTTTGCTGCTTGATATTGAAAATTGGTTATTATTAATTGGTGATTATGTTGATGTATTATCTTAATCATGAACACAGTGGTTTGTAGTGCAAACAGTTTTACCGTTTACTGCACATTGTTATTCTCGTTATTTCCCTATTAGCCGCTGGCTAATGAACCAGAAGTCTCACCCATAGGCTTACTTCCGCGTTAAAGAAAAAGGTGGATAGTTATCGTCCTTGTTGTGAACAGGCCTTTAGTCTAATGAAGCCATTCGATTTCTTTGTGTGAGGGACAGACCAAAATATTGCTCTCTATCTTAGCTCTCAAATCAAATCTCATATTCAGATGTAAGTAGTGTCAGGTGTGACGCAGTGTTCATCAGTTTTCATGCAGTCTTTCAGAAACTTTTTTATTTTTATTGTAGTATTAATAACTGTAGGTCTTTTGACAGGAACTATCGTTACCATGGTTATTTTTGTAAGGGTCAACATTCTTTCAATGCAGAGCCATCTTCAAAAGTTCAGTTTAGTCTGGGAAATTTGCATATCTCGTAGGTGGAAGCCTGGTATTGTCAACTTGTTTATCTATTACAGTGATCTGTTTCTTGGTTTCGTTTTAGAAAAAGTATAAATGTACCTTCACATATGCGTGTCAAGGAGGAACCAATGAGGTAAGACATATTTTCTGTCATTTATAAACTCTGTGTTGGAGATAAATGTAAGTAATATACAGTTCACAAAATATAAATTCAGTGCAATAACAAAACTTATGGTTTTATTTTGTAGCCATTTATATTATTGCTTCATTATTAGATTACTTTGTCCATCATTACTTTTCCTTCCTATGTGCTGAGAAGTTTATTATATTTTCAAAGATAATATGAGGAAATTAAACATTGCTGTTCGACCCTCCTAAAATTTGTGTCTGTGTCACAAAGCATAACTATTGTTATGACATCAAGACATTTGTCACTCTGGCACTAACGACCCAGAAATTGTAGCAATTATGCGCTGTTGTAAAACGTCCTGATTTCACAGAATTGCGCAGTTTCAGACTTAAATGTGAACCCTTTGTGCTTTAATTTCCTCTAGCAATGGCAAATGAGCATTGGACTAAGTGACGATGACCAGATGTTTTCCTGTTCAGTATGGAGGTAACTTTCAAAACACTGTTGCATTGGTTTTTGGTGGCTGTACTCAATACGCAATACCAAAAATGAGGTTTACTCAGAAGTACAAGCAAATCTAATCTCGGTTTTCTCTGTTTTCAAACATTGTCATGTAATTTGAGATGAAAGAGGGGACAATATAGATTTTTCTCTGTCATTTTTTCACGATAGGCCCCAAGGGAAGTCCTACTTGTTTTTTACCCAGTTCAAAGCCGAGATAAAAGGAGCCAAGATTGAGTACGCCACCGCATATGTAAGTTTCACATTAACTTCAGCTATCCTTCATCACCTGACACCACATCAACTGAGTGAAACATTCAGCAATCCGTAGAATGTATGATTCAATATGAAGAAATTAGCGTTTAATGCGTTGACGCATTTCATCGACCAAGAATATTCAGATGACAACTTTTTATTTGTGTGCTTTGCACATTCAAAGAATTGGCACAGGTTTTTGAAGATCTTGTTTAAAATTTATCCTTAGTCGTGACATTGACATTTGCCGCAGATCAAACCTTAATTCAGATTCCTAACGCTCGTCGCTCTCAGATCAAAAGCAGTCAGCCCTTTTTGTACAGGTGTTGCATATCAAGACTTTGTGAACACATCTTTATCTTCAGATTAAATTGAAATTCTCAGTAGTGGGATGACGGTGACGTCCTGGTGGCCTTGTCCCCTGTGTAAATAAGAAAAGTTCAAAAGCGTGCTTGAAACAAGCACTCCATACACTCCATGTCTCTTTTTGTTTTCTTAGTGAGGATCTCTTTGTTATTCAGCCCACTCCTCTAGGCTTCTCTGTTATTGTTTTGTGTCACTCATTTTCTCTCTTTCTCTTTCTTCTTCTTCTCAGTCCCAGACGGCCGTGGGTGGACAGAGAGATGTCGCTTTGAAGGAAGAAGAGTACATTGTGTCAGCGTCTTCAGGTGAGTCTGCATATTCCTACTTCCAGCAAGGCTGACACAGCTATGGGAAACCTGGAAATAACAGAAAATTTAAAAATGGTGTTTTCCAGGTTTGGAAAAGTCAATTACTGGCAATACTGAAAATAAATGTTTCTAATCAAGCACATCTTTATTCTGTCATTCAGTGACCCACAGAGAAGGTAAATTCCATTCCGAGCTTTCCAAGCTCACTGTCATTGGTCGGACACGCCACGATGAACTCTGATTGGCCGATCCGAAAGAGGATTGTCCCATCACTCGGGGACATTTATTTGAGAGCTATGGACACTCTGCCACTTAACTGCTCACTGTCATAAGTCAAGCAAAGGAAATCAAACCATGGGAAGTTATGAAAGAACGAACTTCCTGTGATAGAAAATACTACAGCGATTTCCTCTAGAGGCAGCATTACGCTAGTGGCCAAGAACTGGGTGATTGGTAGATGAAAAGTCTACTATCGGACATGAGGAAAATAAAATATATTTGTGAGGTGATATGAAGGCTTTTTCAAATTAAGTTCAGAGCAGTAGATTGATTTCTATTCCTGGCAGCCTTTATCGGTTTAGGGTTTCAGCCTGACTTTGACTTCATACCTGCAAATCTGATTATCATGAGCGCATTCATGCTCATACTTACTTTCTTAAGCTGGTGTAATGGCACGCTTGTAGAGAATTTCCGCTAAATCTTTGGGGTATGTCAGAATCCTTTGATTATTTCTGTGGTGGAGGAAAAGACAGAAAATTGTGCTTTATTCTGATAGCTGCTGTACTGGAATTTTTAATAAATCTGTTCCTTCATAAATCAGATCCTTTTGGTTTCTCATTTTGCCAATTGAAATTAATTATTGTATTAATATATTTCATAAAGTAAATGTGCATTATCTGTTTCTAAGCACCGTAATCTCAAGATCTGCAGACATTTTAGCATTTTATTGCACTTTGAAGGGGGTGAAATCTGTATAATTCTACTGCATGAACTTCAATTACACTAAAATGTGTTTAAAAAAAATCAGCAGAATCCATCTATGTGCAGATTCTGGTCATATTGTGAGATTTGTCCACTCAGCTCTGCAGAAGGACTGTCGGTACCACAAATGTACATATGAGCATCTGCACCGTGTCATAATTCTCATTGGCAGCAGTTCAGGAAATTAATGTCTTGAACCGAAAGCGTGAAATTTTTCCTACATTTGAATCTGTGGCATTTAGACTTTCAAAAATACATTAAAACCAGAAAATGCTTTATGCCGTCCTACATCTTTAAAAAGCTTGAAATAAACACTGCATTACACATGAGGGAGACAAAATGCTATAAAAGAACCTTTCGCCCATTTTCTTTTCAGTACCTGTTGAAAAATTCCTACATCTGAATACTAAGTACTGTTGCATTGTGTTTTTGTTAAAATATTCTCAGGATGTGTATATGAGAACATCATATTGCTAAGGCAAGACTTCAAACACTAGACTAGAGTTGGGAAAGCAATAAAAATAATCCTTTAACAGATGGGGGTTGCTGGGAGATTGGAATTGTGATTGCGTCCCACTCCAGATGTCATCTAAGGCTAGAAATAATCTCCCGCTACCTTCGGCTTGCCTCTGACGTACAGTATTTCTAAGAAGTGGTCCCCAGTCACCCATGTCACTCTCTAGATTTATGAGTACATGATGTTTCTGTCGTGTCCTCTTTATAGACCTGAAGAGAAAAGGTATTACACGGTTCACCTGTGATCTAAGAGACTTTTCTGTACAATAAATTGCTGCTGCACTCTGAGTTAACGGGTCCAATAAAGCCCAAACTTACCGCAAAGGTGTCTGTAACACGGTATACCATGTAGAGTGTATAATGCTCCACGTTGTACCCTGAAGCCACGGTCTGCTCAAACAATAGTTGAGAGCAGTCTCCGTCTAAATGGGTAGGGTGGCGTCTTCTGACCTTTGTCTTTTTCTTTAGGATTCACTCTTCCCATTGTGCTGGCAAAGGGGTAAGGTGGAGGCTTCTGGCTCCTGCGCCTTGAAGAGGTCCCTGATGTATGTCTTTGAGAAATGACCAACTCCTGAGTTGATTCCCGTTTTTGACCTGCATCATGCAGCCCTTGATCTTTTATGGGATATGCTGGTGGTGCCACAGATGGAGTTGGTGTTTTGAGGGATGACTTGTCAGAGCAGACTCCTTGAGATGATGCCACTTTGATGTCTATCCTTCCTGAGTGGCATCCTTTTAAAGGCTTCCCTGGTTCCTCATTGCCGATATCAATATCGGCCGTCAGAAGGTCTATCTTCTGGACCACCTGTGTTCCAGGGGAAGACAAAGCATAGTTATTTAGCATTTAATGCAAATGGTTCCTGAAAACGTTGGGTACTACACATGTCTCGAGTTTCTATTGGAGCACATTTCATGCAAGAGTGCCGGCAGGCTAGTTTACAAGATTATGAAACTGCGGCAAAAAGCTGAGAGCGGACAGCGGCCCTTTCTTCTTGCCTGTCTGAGGGGACTATAAACCACCGGCCAACGTTCCTCTCCAACGTTGAATACATTTGTTAAATGGAGTGGATCAGACCAATCCTTTCTGCATTAAAGTTTCATTATCCCCTCATAGAAGTGAAATTGCCCAGTGTGCAATAAATTCAGGGGTCTCTATAAACAGTATTCATTATTGATATTAAGATTAATATTAAAACAAAATTCATGGCCCGTGTGTTATCTAAAGTACGACTTTAGATCCGGCAGCTGATGGATAGTAAAGAGTTTGGGATTGAACTAAACAGAACATTTAAATGCCGTCCTTTGTTGAACTCATTATGAGGAACATCTGTTAGCATCCCCAAGTGATAAATTGTGTTATCTAAAGTACGACTTTAGATCCGGCAGCTGATGGATAGTAAAGAGTTTGGGATTTAACTAAACAAAACATTTTAATGCCGCCCTTTGTTGAACTCATTATGAGGAACATCTGTTAACATCCCCAAGTGATAAATAAACCTTTACCTCCTTCATTTCCAGATGTATCTCTTTCAGGCCATGTAGAACCTCCTCAAGATTCACAACAACTCTTTGGATCTGGTCCCGAATAGCTCTCTCCGACTGCGAGCTGAAAGCGTAAGACCCTCTTCCAGGTACATTGAGATCCCCTTGGACGACCTTTGCTTGACACTTAATGTGGTTAGAATTGGTCTTGTTGACATCTTTGGTGGACAGCATAACTTCATTTGCCAGACAAGGTCCGTTTAAGTCTTGCATTATAGGTCCCAGGCATCTACGTAAAGTTCCCTGTCTGTTAGAAGGGCAAAGTTCTGCATCCTTATTAAAGGTCGAATTGTGAACACCACTTGAGCCCATCCAGTCAGATGCATGTTGTTCCATAAGCAGGGCCCCTTGCACAGAGCCCGATTGTTGCTCCGCTGCACAAACAGGCACACCACAGTTTCCATGACCTCTGAACTGTGTTGGCGCGTCCAGAGCACACTTCCTCAAGAAGGGGTGTGGCTCAGTCTGGTGCCGGTGGACCACAAAGCTGCATTCTCTCAAGCTGTAGTTCACAGAGACGCTGTTATGTTGCAGCCCCTTCCCTGGAGGCCGGTTCCACCGCACACTGGTCTGACAAATCTGACCAGTCACGTCTAGCTGTGCATGACCCCCCTGAACATCTAAATGTTTCTTGGCAGTGTATCCATTGAGGGGGGAATTCTTCTGCTTTGGTCCACAGGTGTTCGTTCTGTGTTCCCCAGTCCCAAAATAGGCAAGGATGTCCGCTTGAGGTCTTTGTATTCCATTTTGTAGTTGGCTTGAAGTGGTGGGTTGAATGCGTGGCTCTCTGACCCCTTTTGTCTCGGAGAACATTCTGCGGCCCAAGAAAGGGACTCTCGAGAGGACGTGTCCCTTCTTTAAGTGTCCCGGCCTTGTCATTACCAGGAGATGTTTTTCTCATCTGTCTCGTCTTTAAACTTTCTCTTGCATGTTTCTTCACTCTGACCCCCACCTTCTAGTGTGTTGTTTCCTCCCGCAGATGTTATCCCGGTGTGTTTTCTTCCTCTGGACCCTTGCCCTTCTTTCTCTCTTACCTCACTTTGCTCCCATCGTCCTCTCGTTGGTGACGGGCTTCCGTTTTTTTACCCTCTCCCTCAAACTCCCTGCATTTCTGTTCCACTGGCTGTTGCTTGCTTCCTGCCTTTGACTACCTCCCCATCCCCTCTCTCTCACTCGCTCGCACTGCACTGCCTCCCTTTCTGGTTCATTCTTCCTCCCACTCCCTCTCACGGTTTTCCTCTCTCCCTCTCTCTCGTTTACCTACTTGCAGTAACTCGTCGTACCTCAATCAGTGAGGGGGGTCTGGTTCATTCTTCCTCCCACTCCCTCTCACGGTTTTCCTCTCTCCCTCTCTCGTTTACCTACTTGCAGTAACTCGTCGTACCTCAATCAGTGAGGGGGGTTGTGGAGGGGGGATTTAATCCAGTGCTGATGCTGTGTGTCCATGTATGTTCCCAGCCTCGGGACTGATCTGATTACTCCTGTTCTGCCTCAGTACGCTACAATTACACCCAGGATTTTATAGCAGGATGCCAGGGGAGGCACACTCCCCCTTTAGTGCTTTATGGGGCAGCACAGGCAGGGCTAGTCCCTAAAAAAACGCATGAGGATGTGACTTTTAAAATTAATAACCTGGCATGCTGCAGCATGAAAATACTTCTTCATGTCTTTGGTTTATTTCTGGTTTATCTGGTATGGAGGGGTTCTCAGAAAGTGCACATACTGAAGTTTCAATTCTACATTAGTTGCATGTTTTCATTTCAATTGCATGTTTTAGTAACCACAACAGTTTAGCTATATAATGACCTATAGAAAAATTGCAATTCAATTAAAGTGCAATTAATTGGAAAGTCAATCTATATATTTAACACATTTCAAGATTGAAGTCCTGTGGTAACATTTGTATTCTCCATACCCAAGATTGAAAGGTCACAAATGCGAATGTTTACCATTGTTATTCCCAGCTGCTTTAGGTTTCAGTTCTTTTCTCATTTCCACATAAACTGAACGATCACTCCGAGAAAGGTCAGGAATTTTACCCCTGACACAGTCTCTGATTCATATCAACCCAAACTAAAGTACAATTAGCAAAAAAAAAGATCTTACATTCGGTCAGGATTTAATTACTCATTTCTCCCAACTATATTTTACTATAAAGTACTACTCATGATTTTGATGTTGCTAGATACCAATTATACTGTATATAACATACAATAAACAACTGCAACAATTGTATGTTTTATTTTTGTCTCATGACCTCATTAGATCTTATATAATGTGTCCAATTATCATCTTGGAATAAAATGTTTATTTTATACTTTTAAGTACACTTTTTGTTTTTTGGCAGTCTGATCAAATAATAATGTTAGAAAATATGGATCTAATCATTTGCAGTCCATTCATCACATTGAAAAAGGTAAGGTCAAGTTGAGGACATTGCATTGTGGGATACAGCATTGCACACAGTGCATTTTTTGTATGTTGGATGCCACAGCAAACTTAATATTGCAAACAGAAAATGTTGTATATTGTGTACATACTATATACTCCAAGGATCGTGTTAGTAGCATGTTAGCATGCTATTCTGAACAGTAAGCTGATTTGAAAACAGCAGTTAATGGTGCAGAAATTTCACTCTAAGAAAAAAAATAAAAGCAATACAAATCTTGTGTATAGCACTAGGTCTTGCAGCCAACAGCAACATGACTAAAAAGTCACTGTTCAGCCTTACTGATAAACGACTTGAAAGCAGCCACAATGTTATCGTAGACGTAGCTTCAGTGGGCTAACGTTTCCAAAGCGCTGGTCAGAGGGCCTTCTGTTTGACACCAGACATCACTGTAGCAGCAAACGCAGTGCTTTGAGACGTCACTCTTAACGCTGAGTGTGAGCCATAAATAGCGCAAAACGCTTGAACGCGGCTGTTCATTTCAAATTCAGTTTGGATGCACAAGTGCTGTTACCTGTCAAGACTGACGACACTATATAACACTAATGGCCTGCAGATGCTGTTCAACAGCTGTGGTGTGTTTAAACTCAGACACTTACACTATGAAGCACCAACGCTATGCTTGTTTTCTATTTTCTGTGCTGAATTTTGATAAGACAAAGCACCAGATTTTACAAGCCTCTGCTAGCTGATTGTAATAAGAGCTATTAATGTGATTCTCATCTTTGTCTTGTGGTCAGATGGTCATTTCTACACCTCTGGTGGTGGTTACCAAGACAACTGACAGGCAGCCGTGTGTTTTTGCTTGTTAGGTGTGAAGGGACATTGCGGAGATCAGGTCAATGCATGACGTTGTCGCCAGCTATTAATAACTCAAAAATTCCACTTCTAATAAATAAAAATCAGGACAAACAAGGTGATGTAACCCACCCGGCGGGGATCCGTAATGTAATGTCGCTGATAGTATAACCTTGAGAGCCGTACAGAATATCAATGAATTCTCTTCTTCTATTATATAAATAATTGCTTTACATTCACGTTTGCTTTTAACTAAAAACAAACACAGCAGGTTTTAGATCCCCAGAGGACACTCTAGTGGAGAGAAAAGCGAAAAACAAAAGAACTTGACAGGTTTAAGAACTTAAGTCCCTGGTAACTGTCACGTCTCAGGTATCAGCCGGAGGGGGATCGAGCATCAGCATAGAGAACAGAAGCTGTGTCAGAACGACACACCGAAACAGCCATGAGAAGAATAGCAAATGAAACCAGCGTGGCATTTTCACACGTTTTTAACATTTTTATGTTGTCTTGCTCTCATCAGACCCGTGAACATCACTGCGATTGGTTTCAAGCTCGGGACTACCCCAGGGAGAATTAGGATTATATTTTTATACTGATACCACACTGTAAACATTGATGCCATACACACACACGTCTGGTTTGCTATCCTTGTGGGGACTCTGCATAGGTGTAATGGTTTTTCTACTGTACAAACCGTATTTTCTATCACCCTACACCTAAACCTACCCCCTTACAAAAAATTTATGATTTATAAGCTTGTATCCTCATGGGGGCCTCAATTTAGGTCCCCACGGTGACACGAGTCCCCATGAGTTGGTGTGTATTCAGGTTTAAGTCTCCACCAGGTACATATTTCTTAGCATAAAACTATCAATCTATTCAGAATTCATTTTAGTGGAAGTTAAATCAACTAAAACTTTCTTAATACTTGTTCCTGGTCTTATTGGGAAAGATTCATCCATGTATGCGATTCCAAAAGAAAGAAAAAACATACTAGCCTTTGTAATCTTTAATTTAAATGTAATAACTCTGAAATGGTTGTCTTTTTTGGCTTCCATCACTAAAACATTCATCCAACCACCTGTCATACAGAGCAATTCCCTTCTGGTAACACCCACTTTTCACAATCCAATCAAAACTTTTTCCCCCGGAATATTATTTCACACCAAAATGTGTCATATTATAGAACAAATGGGTTGGAGATGCTGTATTATGTTAAACATGTATTCTGCAATCTCACTATTCATGTAAGGGGAAAAAAAAGTTCAGATTTGTTTTTCTGGAAAAAACAATCCTGCATGCCTAGAGAGATTAGCATACTGTAATCCAGGACAAACATGCTAATACTGCTTGGACTCTTTCACTAGATTGTTCTGCATTTCTCATTAAATAAAAACAGAACACTTGCCTCTTAAGAATGACACATTTATATATACACACACAAATACTGTATTTATATACATCATTTTTAGAAAACAACATACATTAACAAGACTTGTTTGTGATTAACAAAAATAGCCTTTAACATTCTAGTTAAAAACATGTTGTAATGTGAAAGATAGTCTTAATGCTCAGATGATATCTGCACAAAGCTAAATAAGGTATCCGGTCCTTTATCGGTTTAAATTGGCCCAAAACACCACATGTAAGAGGCATTCGAGACTGAACCCTGAGAGGTTTTAGGATAATCAGGAGGTATGGCTTTCACCGCTGTCAAAGTTACTCAAGAGTTTACATTTTTTCCCTTGAAATTGCTGATACTTTATTTGGAAGCTGGAGCTTTACCTAAAAAAAAAAAAAAAAAAAAAAAAAACTAGTGACAAGATAAATTCAAACAACCCTCTGCTATTTACTATAAAAAAAACTTAAAAAAAAACTAACAATATTAATAATAATAATAATAATAATAAGTGCATAGATACAGGAAAATAAAGTTTTTGAGGCCAGGAGGACACATTAAACTGTTCAATAAGAGCCTTATATAGGCCTCAAACTTTGTGATTCTTTCAGTATGTCAATTTGTAAAAACGACACAAGTTTGGAATATTCTAGGTTAAAATCAGGTACACGTACAAACATAAAACATGTGGGCAGATTTGCACATACAATGTAAGTCTATGGGACAAGTATACGGTTGCCTCATAGACTTCTACTAAAAGCATTTCTGTATGCACATTTTTTGGGAGCTTGTGCAATGTTTTTGTGGTAACCGATATCCCAGAGGTGATGTCGTAAGATCTGAACTTGTATACACCCAGTACAATAGACAAAATAATCTGTCAAAACTGCTGGAGCTAAAATAAACTGATGGCAGAAATGGGACATTGAGACTTTAAGTTGTTGAATTCTTTGTTCACATAAGTCAAAAACAATCAGAAATGACGTATCAGGGAAATAACGGCTCAGTCGCGTATTTACACACATAAAACCTTCATTAAAACAGTAAATAAACACGCCGAAAGGTAGTACAGTGACATTCTAGCACATTCTTCATTCCTTGATAAGGAACTGCATCGCAGTAAAGACCTCCCATCAGCAGGGGGGGCGATATGGAGTGGAAAAGCAAACATAAGATGAACGTAAACCACTTTATGACCAAGTTTAGAAATCACAGGGGTGATCGTTTACAAATAGTTTAGCATCAACCTGAAGAGGAATCACAAGAGACATGTCCAAATACAGTCCTTTTGGGTTGCGGATTGAACGTGTCTATTTTCAGGAAGCGAGAGGGTGATGCTGCAGGCTCATTTCCTAAAATTAGAGATGAAACCTTTCATACATATCCCCTAGTGCATTTCGTATTTGCAGTGCTTGAATTACCCTCTCAGCATCAAAAAGGTTTGCAAATGGTCCTTCATTTCCTCTGATGGTGGATCTTAAACAAACTGCTCTCTAAAATTACCTTTGGACGAACAAGAGCCAGATTTGTATTGCGCATTAGGTTTGTGCTGTAAACCACCTCTAACCCCCGTTTCTAAAAATACAGGAGTCAAGAAGAAAGACGTTCCATTGGAAGGACAAACGTACATTCAAGACAGATGATTTAGTGTCCAATGCACAAATAAGGCACGAGATATTCCGAGCTTAAGCTCCATTTAAAACACACAAAGAAATTGTTCAAATAAATTTAGCATTTCCATAAAAAAAAGACAACAAGTCGTGGTCAAAGATTGCCGTCATCCAGCATCTTGTTGACTCCTTCACAGATTTTCTGCAAGTGGCCATGGTACACTTCCGAAGGTCCGTACAGCGTCGCAAGGAACTCACAATCGGAGAAATGATTGAAGACGTGGTTGATACGGCCATGAGATTTCGCCGTCAGGTGCCTGTTGATGGCCTGGTGCAGCAGTTCGCGGCAATCGTTGAGCAGGTTGCTCATGACGCGGCGGTCAAACGTGAAGTCGATCTGGTAGAAGCTGACGGCTGTCATTGCCAGCGTGTGTACCTTCTTCCGGAAGCGCTCAACCAGCGCAAGCTCCTCGTTGTTGAACTGGCCGTTGCGGTAGAGGACGCCCAACTTGACCACCATCTTAATGAGGTTCTTGATGATCTTCTGGGCCTCCTTGCGGTTGCGCGTGTACTCTTTGGTCACCCGGTACAGCTCGTCCAGTACCTCGCTGCTGGTGTCGTCTATGAAGAGGTTGGCCACCGTCTTGGTCGCCATCTTGCTCATGAGCTTCTTCTGGGCCTGCAGGGCCAGGCTCTTTGTGCTGAACGCATCCATGATATCTACGGATGAAACACAAACAAAGGCAGCCATTCAAAATTAAGTTTTTCATGTTCATAAAACTCAAGCGGAGCTGCGGTTCAACATTCTTTCAAACAACAGTCACGCATTCAAATTGGGACAACAGATGTTTATCTTGAGTGTCTCGCCTGGAAGCGTATACGGAAAGCGTAGATGACTCCCACGTTGAAGTCAAAACATGCTAAATATTGACTCTTGAAATCAAACACAATCTAATGAGAGGAACACTTTGTGCTGAACGCATCCATGATATCTACGGATGAAACACAAACAAAGGCAGCCATTCAAAATTAAGTTTTTCATGTTCATAAAACTCAAGCGGAGCTGCGGTTCAACATTCTTTCAAACAACAGTCACGCATTCAAATTGGGACAACAGATGTTTATCTTAAGAGTGTCTCGCCTGGAAGCGTATACGGAAAGCGTAGATGACTCCCACGTTGAAGTCAAAACATGCTAAATATTGACTCTTGAAATCAAACACAATCTAATGAGAGGAACATAAACCAGGCTTCCACTCATACAAATAACAAGGGATGCATCTAGGGCTGCATGATTAATCGAATGCGATTGTCATGCACATCTTGTCAGTAAAGCCGGTTCTGTGATTAGTAGTAAATCTCCATCACCTGCTTTCAGATGGAGCGGCATTTAATACACAGAGCCGTAGCTCTCTGACAAGCTACGCAAAAAAAAAAAACACCGCAGACTATATAATCGTACGATTATGAAATCGAGATAATCGTTCGAGATAATGACAGCTGTTTGCGTAGCTACTCAGTGAACTATGGCTCTGTGTAGTAAATGCTGTTCCATCTGAAAGCACGTGAAAATACCACATTTAATAACATGTTTTTACTCCAAACTTCAAAACATCAGTCGAGTGTTTGAAATAAATCCTTCTGAGATGATGTGGCTTCTTACATAGAATAAGGCACGCAACATATTTCATAGTATTCTAAGCAGTGATAAAGGCTATGTCGATTAGCATTGCATTATAGATATACTTAATAATGAAAATTATAACAATAAGAACTCAGATAAACCATATATTGCCGTAGTCGTGTGTTTATTAGTCACGTTGAATCAATGAAAGCATTTAAATCTTCGGTTTATTCAGCAACCGCTATAGAGATTTCCTGGGTTTCTTCTGCGAGGCGTATTTGGAGTTTCAGCGCGAGAGCACCCTCTGGCCTTCGATGGAGATTTACTGCTGATCACAGAACCGTGCGTCACTGAAAGATACGCATGAAAATCGCAGCTTCTGCCTAATTGCGATTTCGATTTATTGTGCAGCCCTAGATGCAATGATACAATTTTTTCAGATCCGATCCAATCTTATCCAGACAATTCTGAGTATCGGCAAATTCCGATCCGAGCGCAGTTTTTTTTTTTGTGTGTGTTGACCTGATTGTCACTCTTTTGTATGTTAAACACAATCTACTAAATATATAATTTTTCATTTTTTAATTAAAATTAAGTTGTCTATCTATGAGAAAAATACTATTATGAACTAGGTTAGTGGATAATTTAGCAGCAAAAGTTATTCTAGAAAAATCATAAATGCACAATTTTATAAAATCTAAACATTTAGTGAAATAACATTATTTAGTGGGGAACAAATAAAAGTGAATAAGTGTAGGACTAAATCTGGTAAAATGTTACACATTGCTCTTTGTATTGTTGTGAAATACATTAATGAAAACAAGTAAATGTATTTATTTATAAACTATAAAATTGAAAGACATTTCTTTTAAATGTATAGCACAGTAATGAAGGCAGCAACATATGACAAATAGGAGTCCCATCTATCATATGTTGCTGCCTCCATTACGGTTAGGGCTGGGACAATAAATCGATGCATCGCGATTCGTGGATCGATTCTGAGATTATCGGAATGCATCGTGATTCTCGCTCGAATCGATTCTGAGCTTAGTTTTTTAACAGCAGATGGCACTCTAGGCTAGTTTTTAACCGCACACTCAAATGTTCACAAAGAAGAGAACTTGTGCGTTCGGCTGAGTAATGTAAGTGGTTACTTGCGCATCGGCTTTTATGATGCGAGATTAATGTAAACACAGCCCACTGTGAACATCCTTGTAATTCGCATCAACCTTTTTGAACTTTATGAATGATTATTTTAGGTTCAAGTGGTGCGTGTGTAAGGAACTGGAAGCAAGCAGAATACGGCTATTTCTAAAGCACGCAGTGCCATCTGCTGTTAAAAAACTAAGCTCAGAATCGATTCGAGCGAGAATCACGATGCATTCCGATAATCTCAGAATCGATCCACGAATCGCGATGCATCGATTTATTGTCCCAGCCATAATTACTGTGCTATACATTAGATTATTTATAGCCTTTCTTTTTTCGGTCCTATCATAGGACAGAACAAGAAACGCTAAAAATAATCTTTCATTGCGCAAAAGTATTATAATACGAAAAGCTCCAGTACGGAGTGGCACAAAGAGCTTATACGCATCCCGTGCACAGAATGATGCAACACGAAGTCACAGCATGCAGCGCTACGCATAGAGAAGTTCAAAGCACAAAGGAAAGAGATAGATGCATAGTTTATTAAATGTGCGATAGTTTGAGCCTTTTCTTTTAACAGTTTTAAATTTCAGTTACTGTACGCTCTTGAAGAGAGTTTCATTGTTTTGACATAACCGACCGTGACCCGCAGTGTGAACGCTGAATGGAGGATGACAGACAGCTGCAGCGGAGAGAAGAGTTTACATCAACTTGAATTTAACGACTTAAATATTCATCTGTACCTCACATTAAACTATGGAACGGCTTCAGAACACTTGGACTTTGACTTTATGGTGCTTTATAATGTTTTTGTGCTTTCGTGAGGCCAAAAATAACACAGAATAATAAACGCACAATATTGGATTTGTAGACCGATACCTGATCCGGCAGAAAATGCCAGTATCGGAGCCAATACCGATACGGATCGATGCATCCCTACAAATAACGGTTCTTTATTGGCATCTATAGTTCAATGAAGAACCTTCAACATCCATGGAATGTTTCCATTAGAGAAAAGGTTCTTCGGTTCTGCAAAAGACATTTGGAACCTATATTTTTTAAGAGTACATGAAACATGTTAGACATTCATGCTACATGCAGACTTCAAAAGGTTTCAATTCAGGACATTGAGGAAACCAATCGTACTGACTCATTTTCTCATCAAAGAGGCAAGCCATAAAAAGGTTTCTGAAACTACTCCCTGTGCATGTTTCCTTCCAGCACATACAAACATAAATGGTCAATTCACAGATTTTGTATGCAACTAAACAATTCGAACACAACATCCATGCATTTCCGTTCTCACACGGCGAACGCTACACTTAGAGGCTTTAACAAAACAATGAACTTCCTAAGTCTCGCATAGGCCTGACAGGACAATTTCCCCTTCTTAAAATGACCGCTCCCTAGGGAAGCGTTGCTCATAACAGAATCCCTTCAAGTCTGAGTCACTGCGATGAATTGTTGCTAATTAAGTCGCAGAAGTGATACCGTGCGTGGTTTGAGACCAGCAGATTCTCCAGCACATTGTCTTTTTGCACACACGCGATTTGCATTTCTTTGAAAAGGCACTTTTGATGTGACTCGATTCCTTGGGAAAATCTTCGCAAGACTGTTCCCTGGTTAGCGGGACTTCTAACGCCGATTGCTGAGCCTTGTATTAATATCTGTCGAGATCAAAGGTAAGTCATTTGAGAAAGGGACAAGGTGAGACTGGACTCCCGACAGATAAACACTAAAATCAATTTGCATGTTTACAACCAAATCTAGATGCATTTGGGCACTAATAACTGCTGTCAAAATACTCCCACAACACAGATGACACCAAAATCATTCAAAAATCCCAAGGTAATCTGGTCTCAGAAGGAAATGGGTTTCCAAGCCACATTTCTCAGTTGATACAAATCTGAAAACGTGAAGTCTACGTTCTTCTCTCGTTTTTTGCACTGCCAACTGCAGCAGCATAAAATAGCTGAACGCTGGCCAAGCAACACTGGGCAGTGACCAACTTCACAACATTATCATTAGTGGTGAGTTTTACATGGGTGGAAACAAAACAAGACATAAAAGCTCATGTAACAACAGAAACTAGCGTGAAACAAACAACTTCGGACTGCAGATATCCCAGCAACGCTCGTGGTGTTTGATTCACCACTGGACAAAGAAGCTGTAACAAGAGACTGGGGTTTTCAGTTGCTCAGCATCAACCAGAAGCCAACACTCACCTTCCTGGAGGTATATGGTTGCGTTCTCCATGATTGGGGAATGGGAAAGCGAGATTGTGGAGGACGAGGAGAACATTGGAGATCACTGAGCCATGCCTGTCTGTCTGAACTGATTGTTTCAGGTGTGTAAGGGTGTGAGTGATTTCACCTAGCCACATTTCTCAGTTGATACAAATCTGAAAACGTGAAGTCTACGTTCTTCTCTCGTTTTTTGCACTGCCAACTGCAGCAGCATAAAATAGCTGAACGCTGGCCAAGCAACACTGGGCAGTGACCAACTTCACAACATTATCATTAGTGGTGAGTTTTACATGGGTGGAAACAAAACAAGACATAAAAGCTCATGTAACAACAGAAACTAGCGTGAAACAAACAACTTCGGACTGCAGATATCCCAGCAACGCTCGTGGTGTTTGATTCACCACTGGACAAAGAAGCTGTAACAAGAGACTGGGGTTTTCAGTTGCTCAGCATCAACCAGAAGCCAACACTCACCTTCCTGGAGGTATATGGTTGCGTTCTCCATGATTGGGGAATGGGAAAGCGAGAGATTGTGGAGGACGAGGAGAACATTGGAGATCACTGAGCCATGCCTGTCTGTCTGAACTGATTGTTTCAGGTGTGTAAGGGTGTGAGTGATTTCACCTGTAGGTTTGGCTGTTAGCTCCCACCCTGCTGATAGATGTTGGGCCTACATCTAATGGATCACTTTCTCCATGCATACTAGACCTCCTTGATATGCAACCACCCTCCCCAGCAATTATGCCTTGAGGAACCAAGGAACAAGGTTCCTGAAGCTGGAAAAGCCAACAAAAGGGCCACTGTCCAAACTCCAACTAACATCTAGCTCTGTTTTCAGGTATGGACTGAGGCAACAGAGTCACAGCATGTAACAGCAACATGTCTTTCATGTGGTTTAGCTCTTGTTTGTGGTGTTTGGTCTTATCGATCATCTGCTGTGCAGGGTTCATGTGCTATAGTCAAAATGATATGAAAAATGCACTCTTTTTTTCTGGCCACACAGATCTAGAGAAGCCTGCGGTGACATGAATTATTCAGCGGTTTCACAAAATAGTCCTGCATTTTAATAATGCATGAACCAATTTAGGAATAAAGGTTTGGGTCGACTAAATGTGTTTTTGTGCAAAGGTGATCAAAGCTTGGAACGTTCATTACGAGAACAAGTCTCTCCGACAGAATTAGTGATCGTGAGATACAAGATGCCGAAAAGATAAGCAAACTAACCTGTTGTGTGCTTAATTAAATAAACTGAAGAGGTGACGAATTGGTAGCCAGATCTACTCCATATGCAACTCTGAAAAGTCTACATGAATCCACAATTTAAATAATTATTTGAGTAATAATAACAACACCAACTTTAATAACAAATTTTATAATAAATATTTCTGCAATTGAGAATTAAATAACAGTAATTATTATAATTTTAATAAGAAAAATAACTACATATATATATGCAATTTAAATAATTAAATAACAATGTTTAATAATCATTATTAAAATATTTCTTATGACAAATATTTTTGCAATTGACAATTATGTACCAATAATCCAATTATCATTTTGATCAAATAAATAACTACATAAATAAATTGTGATTTTAATAATTATATATATATATAAAATTATTTTTTTTCATTAAATTGTTTATTAAATAATTAAATATTTTTGCAATTTAATAACACCATTTAATAATCATTATTAAAATAATTATTTCAATAACTAAATAAATCATTTGTGGTGTGTGTGTGTCTATATATATATATATAATTAAATCATTAGCAATTTCTGTGATTTGAGTAAATACTGAGCAAATCTTGCGCAATTTTGTATGCATTTCTTTTGTTGTCATTTAAATAATATAATTTAAAAAAGGTAATTGTGACTTTTTCTTGGAATTACAACTTTTCACAATTGCAGTTGTGTTTCTCGGACTTGCGATCTCTCATAATGTGAGTTCATGCATTATTTTAAACTTTACGTCACAATTGCCCTTATATTATTTTTTTTACTCTGAGGTCAAAAGTGGCTTCAATGGCATCGGCTTGCAACCTTGACAAAGCACTAGTAAAGTTCAATCGCCTAAGATGGATGAGGGTTTTTCCTGCATCCAGTGTCTGTGTTCACATATCAATGTGAACTAAAACGGCATGTTCTTTACTCTATATCCAATGGCCTGTCTCTCAACTCCAGAGTATCTATGTCAACAAAGTCTCTGTCTTGATGATAAAGGCTTCAGGTGTTTGTTCGAAATGTATTTGCATATAATTAATGCTGGCAAACATGAGCCTTAAAGCCCATAATAAGCACTGACTACTGAGGACAGAACAAAGGTTCAGACAATCTGAGAGAAGGCAGAAGGTAAATGTTTCCTAGGTTACAACCGAAGCCTCCTGTAAGTGAACATTGCAGTCCGGTGAATAAGGTCATATCCCCCTGTCTCTGTCAATGAGTTATCGGTCTGTTACTCCTACAGACTCTCCATTGTATCGGCCTTCACCTCAAATATTTATTACACTAGTATGCTTGCCTACATTTGAGTTGCTGTCAAATTGGCAAATTAGTGTTGACATAATATGCATAGTTTTCATACTGGTTTGTTATTTTACAGTGTAAAGGTTATAATCGGTCTATAAATACAAGTACAAGTAGAGAAAACTGTATGCATTGACATCACTGAATAAATATTATGCAACCTAAGGCATGTGTTCTATGCAGAACTATTGATTTTCATATAAACACAGATGAAAAAACACATTTTCAAGGGTCCATGAATGCACAACATGCAGAATATGCGTTACTCAAGGCAGTAAGAAACTCACTCACCTCTCCCCTGTTTGAACCGGATACTGGGCGTCTAAAGAATAACTTTCGTTCTTCAAACCTCCATCTAAACAGCCAATAAACCACCTATATATCATATAAAGACGGTCAAATGTGTCCAACAGGTATGTGTTGCGTCTGCGCCGCTGGTGTGAATAATTCAAGCGTTTTCTTCTCCCTCTTTTCGCGTTTGGTTACCAGAGTTTGTAACCTGACTCCAGCTTTTCGACAAGTTTCAAACTTGAGGGTCCGAGGCGCTCGGTGAGTGGCGTTCTGATTGGCCAATCGCGCTCGGGTTTGGAACCCCAACGGGCCAATCAGAAGCCAGAGAGGCCCGTGAGTCCAGCCTTCCACATGGTTTCCCGTCATTATCCTGGGAAAAAGTCCAAGGCTGAAAATTTCCCAGAGGAAATTCTTTTGAACAATGAAGGGGGGGGGGCTCGTAACTACTGATTTGTTTTCTGTAAACAATATGGCTGCCTAGCCGTTAAGGACGTTTAATTGAGTTGTTTCCGTGAAAAATACCTGTAAGTTACCTGAGAGTTTTATTATGTATATATTTTTGTTCTTTGTTAACTTTGTATGAAAGGTATGAGACCGATCCAATCAGTCCCCGGATGTCTTTGACCTGTTTTTTCCGTTCATAAATGGAACACATTCAGAAACATCCGGTGGCTGTAAATAATCACTTTAAACCATATACCATCCTCTTCAGTGGCTGATAACACAAACAGCCCTAACACCTGCGACCACCGATGGTGATAATCGAGTACGATAATAATACACAGCAATGCTATTGCTTCTTCTTTCTTTTTGAAACCTGAATGCATTGAATTTCTCAACATTAATGTCTTATTCTAATAATGCTTTTACTAGGCTACTATTAAAATCAATAATTTATTCAGACCTTGCACTATATGGTTTTTATTTGGAAGAAAAGCAGTGTATGGGTGTTACACAGCCCGATGGCGCCACCCAGTCTTACAACTATGTATTGCTGCGTTTGGGGAATATTCCAGCAACTGGAGCTGTCATTTTCTTAATATATATATATTTTTATGTCATGCTTTTATTTAAAGAATTAACTACATGCATTTAGTTATTTTACATTTTTTAAATAAATGTATGGTTCAATTACAAATAAGTAGCCTACAATCAAAGGTCGGATAACACGTGCGTTTAGCACGCAATTCTCATTTGAATATCATGTTGTACCATTTTGGTTTGTTTCCTGGTGTAAGTCTTTTAAGCTAACATAGTATGCTTTGGAGTATTGTTTGTAACCCTTATTGTCTTTTGTTCTTACTTGTCTTTGTAACTGTATTTGTTGTTCTTCTATTGCATAATAAAAAAAACAAAAAACCATTTTGGTTTGTCATCACATAATAAATGACTAAAATAGCCCTCTCTCTCTCTGTGTGTGTGTGTAATCTAAGCTATCTGAAGATAACGGGCCGCTGCTTGAGTTAGGAAGTCCGAGTCATTTTAGCGATTCGGTTTGTTCGAACGATTTGTTTGCCACTTGCAACAACAATTTAAACATTTTATTTTTATAACATATACATATTTCGTTAAATAAAACGATTTTATCATTGTATAATTGATTCATTTATATAAATTAGTATGCCGCGATTTCTAATTGCCTTGCGCAGTGAACACACGTCTCGCGATTGCTACACTCAAGTGAATCATAACCGCCTTGCGAATCGACTCCTCCGAATCGTTCAAAAGAACCGGCTAACACGAGAACAAGGATATCATCTGCCCCCCCTTTTTTTTGTTCATTGACCTCAACTTCTTCACGGCGCGTGTCGCTTGTCGCTTCTCACGGGATGCTTTAGGTAGATTTTAGACACATTTTCATAGACATTTGCGTTTTTTTTTTCTTCTTGTTGTGCATTTGTGAATAGGCCTGTATCACATGCTGAGCGATTGATTTTATGCGCAGGTTCATTTGAGTGACCTGATCTAAGCTATCTGAAGATAACGGGCCGCTGCTTGAGTTAGGAAGTCCGAGTCATTTTAGCGATTCGGTTTGTTCGAACGATTTGTTTGCCACTTGCAACAACAATTTAAACATTTTATTTTGATAACATATACATATTTCGTTAAATAAAACGATTTTATCATTGTATAATTGATTCATTTATATAAATTAGTATGCTTCTTACTGTACATATATTGCTCTGAAACGCTGATGGTGTTTGTTACAAATGCCGCGATTTCTAATTGCCTTGCGCAGTGAAACTATTGTCATATAATGCTATACTTACTATTTATTATTTTTTTAGCGTATATTTTCCACACCCAAACACACGTCTCGCGATTGCTACACTCAAGTGAATCATAACCGCCTTGCGAATCGACTCCTCCGAATCGTTCAAAAGAACCGGCTAACACGAGAACAAGGATATCATCTGCCCCCCCTTTTTTTTTGTTCATTGACCTCAACTTCTTCACGGCGCGTGTCGCTTGTCGCTTCTCACGGGATGCTTTAGGTAGATTTTAGACACATTTTTGCGTTTTTTTTTCCTTCTTGTTGTGCATTTGTGAATAGGCCTGTATCACATGCTGAGCGATTGATTTTATGCGCAGGTTCATTTGAGTGAAATATTCATTTGGCGACTTTTATTTCTACCTGTTTTCTATATCCGACCCACATATGGACATACCGAGGGATCATTTCTGCTTTAAACCTCTCGACATGAGATGAAACCCTAGAGGAGATGCTATGTGTACTGAATAACGAAAAGAAGAGGACGCGCTATTTTGGAGGCGAATCGAATTTGATCAACCTTTCATTTCAGGGTTGCTCAGAATGCTTAAATTCTAAGCCATCAACTTAAATGTATAATATAGGAACTGTTATGCAGGCATGCTGATGATTCATATATGGTGCAATGGATTTGGTAACCATACGGTAAGGGAAGTGTTGTAGTGAATATTTTATACAGAGAAGGTTTCTTGTTATAGGCTATTTAAGCAGATGATGGTGGCACTCCAAAGCAATTAACACCCCAATGGCCGACATTGGCATATATGCAATATAGGATATAAAATAGCCTAATCTCTTTTCTCTTGGCATTAGGGGTTAATGTTGGAATCTGTTTGTTTGGCATAATTTGTTAATTAGCATTAGTAGTTTATAAGTCTTAATTTAGAAGACAAGAAAAGACGGGATACTTCAGAGACCGTAATCAGCTTAAGGTTTACAGCAGCTATAGTTGGTGGCACTTTTGCATTGTGCATTGCTTTCCAGCCCCTAAGTGGCTTGCTACTATAGTATTTCTAATATAATGGACCCCAATCATATGGATGATGGTTCCTCCAGTGATGGCATGGAGATGGAGATCATGCCTGGCTATACAGAGCTCATCACTAGAGCATATTCAGTCATGTTCAGTGCCTTTAGAGACTGTAAAGACTGTGGGCTGGAGCTGTCCAGGAGAACCTTGCTGGATCATGCATACATAACCTGGACGGAGATCTTCATGTTCCTCATGTGCGCGGTCATGTGGACGAAGGTGCGCAGGGGCCTGACTGTGTACATCTTTGAGGTAAATATACTGAAGAAGTCACTATCAATGCAAATGCAACAAGTGACACACTGGTATCGGTTATTTATACTGTGTACAGTGGGTTTTAATTTATTTAAACAATTCAAATTCTGGCATCGGCTATTGAAAAATTTAAAAGTTCGTTAGAGTATCCTGTAACTGTTTGAGTATTAAACACCAGGTCCTGAAAGCATCACTGGCGCCCTCAATGAATATTTGAAGTTGTTTTGAAACATTGGACGTTGCATCACCATTTGTATATGAAAGGTCATTTGTGCATCTACATGTGGGAAAGTGTGCTTCTGAGGTTTTTAATGGTGTCATGTATTACTAGTACTACCACCCATACTTGGTGTTAGTAATCCGACTTGAGTGGTTGTGCTCAAGCAAACCACTCAAAAGTCGAGTTTTTAGCTCTTGTTGTTTCTGGACAGCAGTATAACAGAAGCCTTGACACTTCATGCAGAAAGTTCACAAGTCATTATTTCAACTGTGACTGCAAATTGTTTGTTAAGATGTGTTTGTGGTGTAGTTTATCCTCTGTTGAACTAGAAAGTCCTCAGAGGTTTTGTTCGCTGTTCACAGGTCAGTGGAATTCATTTTAAACTCACTGTACAAAGTTACAATGTGCACAAGAGCTATTTTACATAGTTTTTTTTACTTTGCATTTTACCTTTTACATACAAAGATGGCTATGCAAACAGGCCATATTACTATCAAGTTTCCTAGACAAGAACTTTACCAAATTGCCTCGCGTCTGGGATTATGATATCCCCACATTTTGCATTTGAAGCTTATTTTCAGTTTAGCTGATGTATGCAAATGTCGGTTTCACTTCCTGTCCTGAAACGTGTGGGGCGGAAACATGCTTTTCAAGTGCGTTTACGACTCTCCCTTGTTCAGCACATGTGCTGCAATTAGCGGGATCAATATGGGTTGGGTCCCCTGCATTCACGTTTGCTCTGGGCCCTGCGGTTTATTCCCCCTTCTGTAAATTGTTTTCTCTCAGCACGTTGAGAAACCCTGACGGATGGCGCGGGGCAGCTGGCGTGATGTTTATACGGAAATATGTGACGTGTCAGGGCCTTGTCTGGTTTGTAACCCTTGAGTAAGAGACAGCGAGGTCTTGGCAAAGAGTTGCAGCACCGTAGTTTGTGATTAAAAACAGGCATGGCTTTGAAACTAAAAAGATAAGCATTTGCCACTTGTAGACCGTTAGTCTCTTATCAGTGTAACTTGTGCTTCTTGGCTAATAATACCCTCTCCGTGAAAGAGGGTGTCCCCTTCTACATAACACAGTATTAAAGTCAACATGTAGCCATATGATCAAACCATTGATCATCTATCAAATCAATGAGAATGCAAATGTATAGGATAGGTTTAAATGAGGAACCAATTATTTACCGATAATCTTCCCTTTCAGTGAACTGTCAACCCCTGGAGTCAGTGAGCAGAACCTGAAAACCGGATAACTTTGTAAAGGGACTGGATAAACGGACTCGTTGAAAAGATCTGATTCAAAAGATTAAATCATTCTGATTCATGAAATGTGCCAAGGATTGTTGGGGAAGATGTTACGGTTTTCAGTGATTAATGACTTAAATATGGGTCTGTTCTTCACACTAAGCTATCATAGGACTTCATAATACATCAAATATAGTGCACAAGTCATATGGAGCCCTTTTGGAACCGTTTTTTGGTCTGAACGTCTGAACTCGCTACTGCAGTTTTAGTATACTGTACTTTGGCCACAAGATTGTCTTGTATGTCTTGGGATATAATTTCTGACATAGTTTGCAGATTTTAAAGTGTTTTGTGGACTATGCCCTGCACTCTCAAATACATGCGTGCAGTACGTAACATGATCTTTCTGCCTGCTTTTTAAACTAATCTCCATGTTGCCTAATAAACAATTTATGACATGAGCTCTTAGTGCTAATGAGACACATTCATTTTTTAAGTTCCCTTGCACTTTCACGTTTTCAGACTCGATGGATGACTAGCACAAGGCCATCTGGCCAGTACAGTGTAAACTGTGTGTGTGAAAAAAAAACAAGGTGTTGACTGCATGCTGGGTGGCCGAAGGCATGCTGTTTTGACCTTTGATGAGACTGTGATGATCACTATTCACTGGACCAGAGGATATTTTCAGTAATCACTCCACTTAAATCAAAATACATGACAATATCGTGTTCTGGCAAACATCAGCTGTCTGAAGAGCTGCCAAAGGAATATCATGTCACACTGTGGATTCTGCAGGCACTAGCTAACCTTTGAGTTCTGTGTCTTAACAGCAGTTCATACAGACAGAGGTCATCAGCTCTTCAGATAGTAAAGTTACAGATGTGTTTGAATGATTTACATTCTTAACACATGCTGAACAAACGTAATTGCGATACCAGCAGGTGCATTGATCTTTCATTGACCTGTTAAAAGACTGTCAATCAATTTTTAAGTAATCAATTATGTATACATATACTGACAGAGTAATTTCTAGATTTTGAAATTGACACGAAATAGTACTTCTGTCAGGACCACTATTGTCAATATAACTTACGATTAGCATACATTTTAGGTTGGGGGAATGGTTCTGTTCTGGGCAAGCACTCCCTGCCCATCCACGCAGCCTAACATGGATAGGAGCAGGGAGAGCAGAATACCCCCCCCTAGGGTAACAGAACAGAACCAACATCAATGATAAATGTAGCAGATACCATTAATGTTCTACGTGATTATTTTAACAACATGATTCAGTTGTCTGACTCAATGATATATTCACTGCCAAGTCCTGACTGGACGAGAGGAGGAGCTGGGGATGGAGGTGGGTGATTAGTTCCTGAGCGAAGCGATACCTGCTGAATAATGACTGAAGGGACCTTATGAAGGGAATTATGATTGGTGTCGTGATCCTATAGGTAGACGTGGATCAGCTGATGTAAGCTGACTAACATGGCCTGCCAGAACTATCGCTACGCTCCATTTATATGACCAAGCAGAAATGGTTATTAGCTAATGCTGATAGAAGATTCTTCTAAAGGTAACCCTTCAAAATGTGCAGCCCTGTATATTGACCCTGAAAGACAATTAAAGCACTCACTAATTTATGCCCGCTCAGAGACCTGATACGCTGCACTGTACTAGATACTTGTATTGAAGCTGAATGCTTTGAATGTTTGGTGCTCAGAGTGGAAACTGCATGCCATTATCAATAGGCATCTAAAAACTTCTGCATCCTTCCTTCCTCATTGTGACGCCCTGTTACGTCTACTCTGATCTCTTGATCTGATACATCATTTTCACCAGAAATGATGACCGAAAATAAACCAGTAATTCCAAAAACAATCAAAGCTTAAGGAAACATAACTCAGCCCCAACAGGAAGGAAGCAGGACGGTTTTTGAGGGGAAAATTAGTATAAGATGTGGCTCCATCTGGCCCTGTGGAGATACTTTTGTCTCTTTTATGACATTTGTCCCCTCAAGAGTATTGGGGAAAAGGTTTTATTCTTATAAAACTCTTATATCTCCTTATGATCTGATCCATTTATATTTTTGCACCCTCATAATAAGTGTGTCCCTTTCCACCCAAAAATTAAAATTGTCATGATTTACTCCCCCCCCGTTATGTCATTTTTAACCTGTATGGAACACATTAGTAAAATAATCTTCATTCTTGACTTCCATACAAGTGACCACATTTGCCAAAAGTGATCCATATGAGAAGTTGCATGTAGATTCAAATAAACTTTAAAGGATAACTATTGGTTAAGAAAGGTATGAGTTAATACTGACAGAATATTTGGTTGACCGTCCTTTTAACTTGCTCTTTTAATGTAATGCAGATCCTAAAAAAAACACCAAGCTGAAGGAAATTACTGTTTACATATGTGGGAGATGAGCTTGTCCTTTTTCATAGTTTGTTGTCATTTGTCTTTTATTTATTCTTCAAGTTGCTCTTGTAGTACAGTGGAAATCCAAAGAGAGCATCGAACCAGTAGGGAAATGACATTGTGATGGAAAGCTTTTTACATGTGTGGGAGATGGGCTTATTCATTGTGTTTATTGTCATTTGTCTTTTATTTACTCTACAAAACCACCTGCTATCCTCAAACAGTTGCCATGGAAACTGCATGTTTAGCCGATAGGTCAGCTCTTGTACAAGACCCCAAAACAAAACATATTTCAGTTGCATTCGGTCACCAGGTCCAGAATGGGTTCAGTTCAGCCCTCGCTTCTGCTTGGCGTTCATGTGCTGGGAGAGTGAGGAGAAGTAGTTGGCGGCCTAATATGGCTTGTAATGTGTCTTCCATAACAAGACTGCATTCCCAGAGGAAACTTCTGCTGCCCAGAGGGTGGTCTTTCAAAGCTCAGGAGACTTTTTGGGGAACTAATTTGCGTTTCATTAAAGCTGCAGTCTGTAACTTTTTTGGGTAAAAAATGATCCAAATAAATGTTTGGGCAAGTATATAACCAGCCAGTGTTCAAAACGTTCTCCTTATTTTAGCCTGATCCACAACGGTAAGCTTGTAATAAGGTTTTCTAATTTGAGTGGTACTGGTAGGCTTACGCTGGAAATACAAGCATATCGCCCTAATATGGCTTGTAATGTGTCTTCCATAACAAGACTGCATTCCCAGAGGAAACTTCTGCTGCCCAGAGGGTGGTCTTTCAAAGCTCAGGAGACTTTTTGGGGAACTAATTTGCGTTTCATTAAAGCTGCAGTCTGTAACTTTTTTGGGTAAAAAATGATCCAAATAAATTTTTGGGCAAGTATATAACCAGCCAGTGTTCAAAACGTTCTCCTTATTTTAGCCTGATCCACAACGGTAAGCTTGTAATAAGGTTTTCTAATTTGAGTGGTACTGGTAGGCTTACGCTAGAAATACAAGCATATCGCCGTTCGTCTTTGCATCATTACGTCACCTCTGTAAACATAAAGAAGGAGTCCCGGCTAGTAGGCTATATCGAATGTGAGGATGCTGCAGGTGGCGGATCATTTATAGCCTTTTCTCACAGCATCTGTAATAATTGATTTATCATTTTGATGGTGGATTGTAATCCAGAAAGGTTAACTGGAGATTCACCAGTAGTCTACAGGTAACGCTAATACACACTAAATAGATGTAGTCACGCAATGCTGATGTCAACATTAACATTTTGAGAACGAAGTACCTTTTTTGGGTAAAAAATGATCCAAATAAATGTTTGGGCAAGTATATAACCAGCCAGTGTTCAAAACGTTCTCCTTATTTTAGCCTGATCCACAACGGTAAGCTTGTAATAAGGTTTTCTAATTTGAGTGGTACTGGTAGGCTTACGCTGGAAATACAAGCATATCGCCGTTCGTCTTTGCATCATTACGTCACCTCTGTAAACATAAAGAAGGAGTCCCGGCTAGTAGGCTATATCGAATGTGAGGATGCTGCAGGTGGCGGATCATTTATAGCCTTTTCTCACAGCATCTGTAATAATTGATTTATCATTTTGATGGTGGATTGTAATCCAGAAAGGTTAACTGGAGATTCACCAGTAGTCTACAGGTAACGCTAATGCACACTAAATAGATGTAGTCACGCAATGCTGATGTCAACATTAACATTTTGAGAACGAAGAACAACAATAATAATAATTTGCATGGTTTGATGTGATATGAGCTAAGCGATCATTAGATTTAATCACCATTGTTAGTGCAATGTATTGTAATGCTTTTTTTCCCCCTCAGTTGGTCAGAACAAAAGTGGCAGACATGTTACTTGTTCAGATGACATTTTCTGGTGAAAATTCTTATTGGAGTCATACTATTCTGTCTTTACATGTTACCTCTGGGCTCTATTCTACGAAAACATGGGGTTTTCATTTCTATGCAGATGACACTCAAATCTATCTACCAATCAAGAAAAGCAATTCCACTGCGATTACTTCTCTTCTGAAATGTTTAGAGGAGGTTAAATCATGGCTAGCCCAAAATTTCCTCTTCCTAAATGAAGACAAGACCGAGGTAATTGTTTTCAGTTCAAATTATAACTCTGTGTATAAGACCCGAGTTAGAAAGTTTATCCATTTTTAGATCCTCGCGGGTGCGGAATCTAGGTATTTCTAGTCGACCAGCATTTAAAATTTGATAAACATATCTCTTCTGTCATTGGGTCCAGTTTCTATCAGCTTCGTTTACGGTCTAAAATGAAAAACTCTCACTCCAAAAACTCTAGAAATGGCTGTTCATGCGTTCGTTACGTCTCGTCTAGATTACTGCAATTCTTTATATTGCGGTATATCTAAATCTCAAATTGTGCGTCTTCAGCTTGTCCAAAATGCTGCGGCCAGACTTCTTTTAAAGTGTCGTAAACATGAACACATCACTCCAATTCTCAGATCTCTACACTGGTTGCCAGTTTGTCAGAGAATAGACTTTAAAATTCTCCTCTTTGTATATAACTCCCTACATAACCAAGCTCCTGTCTATCTATCTGACCTTCTTTACTTCTATACTCCGTCTAGAAGCCTACGATCCTGTGACCAGGCCTTGTTGGTGGTCCCTGACGTTAGGCTTAAGCGTAGAGGGGAGCGTGCATTTGCAGTGGCAGGGTCACGACTCTGGAATACCCTACCTTTAGAGATTAGAATGGCCCCTTCTTTGTCTGTTTTCAAGTCCTTGCTAAAAACGTATTTGTTTTCCTTAGTGTATTGACTACTGTGATATGGTAATTTTTAAACGTGCGGTTTTAAATTTTTGTCTGGTTTGTTCTCCGTGTATGTGGTAAAATTGTTGCTCTTCTGGAAAGCACTTTGGTTGTATATGTGCTCTACAAATAAAATTAACTTGAACTTTCAAGACGTAGAATCTGTGATTCCTAAGTAGAGCGAATATCCACACCAGTGCAGTGACTGACAACCACACATCAAAACATTAGATTCATCTGCGCTGAGTCGTCGTGCCGATGCACAACCCATATAAAGATGATAATTCCGCAAATAACTGCAATTGCAGGTTTCAAACAGAAAGGGCGACAAAGAGGCAAAACTTATGGACTGCAGCTTTAAGTTTCTTCATCGATTCCTATAGAGAAATGACAAGACACACAAATTAAACATGGCTGACAAAGAGAACAGATCTATGAAACTGATGTGGATGTGGATAATTCTAGAGATTAGAATGGCCCCTTCTTTGTCTGTTTTCAAGTCCTTGCTAAAAACGTATTTGTTTTCCTTAGTGTATTGACTACTGTGATATGGTAATTTTTAAACGTGCGGTTTTAAATTTTTGTCTGGTTTGTTCTCCGTGTATGTGGTAAAATTGTTGCTCTTCTGGAAAGCACTTTGGTTGTATATGTGCTCTACAAATAAAATTAACTTGAACTTTCAAGACGTAGAATCTGTGATTCCTAAGTAGAGCGAATATCCACACCAGTGCAGTGACTGACAACCACACATCAAAACATTAGATTCATCTGCGCTGAGTCGTCGTGCCGATGCACAACCCATATAAAGATGATAATTCCGCAAATAACTGCAATTGCAGGTTTCAAACAGAAAGGGCGACAAAGAGGCAAAACTTATGGACTGCAGCTTTAAGTTTCTTCATCGATTCCTATAGAGAAATGACAAGACACACAAATTAAACATGGCTGACAAAGAGAACAGATCTATGAAACTGATGTGGATAATTAATAATAAATGAGTTATATTGAATCATATTGAAGATCATACTTTCCATTGGCAAACCAAGCACACTCGAAGACATCTCTTCTGAGCAATTTACCAGAAGAAAACAGACAGTCTGAGAAGCATTGAACTTCTAGAGCAAGCAACTGGAATATTAAAGAGATCTCATTTGTGGTTGTCTTTTGGGACTGGCCTAAACTAATCTTTGATTAACTTGTGGCGATTAAACCACAGAGCAATGTCAGGCTGCTCAGCTGAGAAAGGATGTGTGCTGTCTATCACAACCATAAGCTGCAGTCATCCGCAGCCACCAGCATCAGCAGCAGACAGCCTGAACCTCAGCTAGAGGCAGTGATAGACAAATGGGGGTGGGGCATTTTGGTGACAGCTGGCCTCTATAAATAACCCCAGTGGGTGGAGGCAGAGAGCAGAATCCTGCAGTGCGAGCCACATTGCCTTATGACCAATCAGAGGCAACCATGAGACCTACGTCCACAATTGTGGGGCCACATAATGTCAACGTATATGCCTAGTTTCGAAGGCCTACTTTTTTTTGATTGTCCTGAGCACAAGGGAGAGTGCAGATCAGGTAACGGCAAGTAAAGGTGGGGATCATGAATAGATAAATGATTAAGAAAAGCTTTTAATCGCATCTTCAGTTACGGTATCATTACGCTTCACATGCAGGATAGTCTGTCACAGGAGAGACAAGGTGAATGCATCATCCAATGTATCAGAGTGGCCTTTTTTATAACTCATCCTACTCTAGGAAGTCACAAAGATGCTGTACGATTTCTTGTTTTGTTTAATGCAAATTTATAGAAAGAATTTATGCTGTTTTTAACTTGAAAGTCTTGAAAATGTTTAAACTGATTTTGCCCTGTTGTGGTTGCATGACATCACACCAACTTTGTGGCACTTGGGGAGATAAATGCATAAATGAGTCAAAGTTACTACGTAATAAGTATTAAGGACAGCATGGTAAATTAACCTTTGTTGATAATTTTACATGGTAGCATGGTTTAGCATCATTTATCCTCTGTAATTTGGTTCCTAGATGTCTTTGTTGACGGAAGAACACCTGCTATTCAAATGCAGGCACTTTAATTTAATTCTTTCCTCTTGTCTTTCACAGCCTTTTGCACAATGGTGTTGTATCCAACCAAAAGATGTCTCAAAGATGCCGGAGAGTGCATGGAAGCTGGTCTTCTACACAATGTCATGGTCATACAGCACATACCTTTTGTTTTTCACTAGCTATTCCTTCTTTCAAAACCCCCCATCTGTGTTTTACGGTAAGGTTCATACTTGACATGTCCTGTTTTTGTATGTAATTATTTGATTAAACCCTGTCGGGCCTGAATAGCTCAACCTTTAGGTTCTTACAAGCATTTGAGTTGTGTAGTAAACTTATTGCATGCTACTTTTAAGTGGTATAAATATACTTAATCATTGAACGTCCAACAAAACTTGTGTGGTTGGGGGGGGATGTTAGACATCTTGAGGAAAAGGTTAAATATTAAATGACTAAAGATCTGATTAATAAATATTAAAAGTCACAAGTTGCTATTATCTGTTAACACTCCTTATCAACACAATGAAGGCCCATTCTCGCTGGCAACTGATCACTAGTTACGCTCCCATTGGTTGTTGCTGTATAATGTCATTGCTTATTTGCATAAAGTTTGTCACATCGCCAAAGACCAGAAAGGCCAGAATCTATCACCGGTCATTAAAAATTAATGGCATCTTGTGGTTTCAAATCACAGATAGTGTGAATGCCCCTTGCCAGCAACATACAAACAACTTAAATCTCTACTATAGCAGTAGAAATAATCTGTTTTATGAGGCCAGTGTTCCACTGTTTGAAAGTCAAGGTCATTAAAATCTAGAGTTTTTTTTTTTTTATGGTTGCGGAGTTCACTTGGAGAACTCAGTGACACTTGTTTGTTCTCTCTTTCTTGGCTTAGACTGGAAGAGTGGGATGTCGGTTCCCACTGATATCACAATAGCTTACCTAATCCAGGGCAGCTTCTACGGCCATTCCATATATGCCACCATTTACATGGATGCCTGGAGGAAGGACTCCCTTGTGATGGTGGTGCATCACTTTATCACTCTGGCCCTGATCACATTCTCCTATGCCTTCAGGTCAGGCAAATTCACAGGCTTTGTTAAAGCAGTGATGCTACAGCCTGTCAAAATGGGGTTTTGAAGTTCTAGTTTCCATAGTTACATCAATTGACAAATAATCAGCTCAATTTATATGCCACTAAAAGCAGTTCACTATCCACTCATCATTGTTCGTATCGTCCTCAGATACCACAACATTGGCATTCTTGTCCTCTTTCTTCATGACATCAATGACATTCAGTTGGAGTTCACCAAGCTCAATGTTTACTTCAAGACCCGGGGAGGGAAAGAGTACCTCATCAATGATGTCCTGTCCAACATGGGGGCCATTAGTTTTAGCATCACATGGTGAGGTTTGCCTGTTGTTCAAGAAACCAGAAGTTTTCTTATTGATGTGTATGTAGTGACACAGCATTGAAACCTTATACAAGCCTAAAAGTGATTTGCATAAATAGGCACACATCCTTCTTTGGTCCCGGGACAACATTCCCATCAACTGATCATTGCCCTAAAATTTCAGGGATTGGTATGCTCAATCCTCCACTTTGATCTGACAAAACTTACAGTAATTTCTGGACCTAAACTCTGGAGTAGGGTAGATCTGTAGAAGCAGGATTGGGTACCCTTAGATTAGGGTTAGGAAAGGTTGATAGGAATGCTATGCAACAATAGGTGTTCATCTAGCAAAATCCCCTTCTTGGTTTAATAATCTATGTGAAGGCTACTCTAACAGTCCAGGTCCACTTTCCTGCAGAGTTTGAAAAAAAATCTTCAGGATTGCTTAGCCCTCAAACGCCAGAGTTTTCCCACCTCTGCTCTGCCATATCCCTTGTATGAGTAACAACTACCTACTGGCCCTTTTGTAATGGATTTTTAGCCTGTCCAGAGGATGGTTGAGAGATCCAGTCGCCTTCACATGTGAGCTAGTTTGTTCTTGCTGTTTGTGCAGGTTTTGGTTCCGTTTGTACTGGTTCCCCCTCAAAGTTATGTGGGCCTCCTGTGTCACCAGCATCCAGTCGGTTCCCCACATCCCTTTCTACTTTTTCTTCAACATACTCCTGTTTGCCCTGCTCCTCATGAATATCTACTGGTTCCTGGTAAGAATGGGTAGTTTAAGAACACAACAGCAGTGTAGTGTAGCTCGGTTAGTAATCTGAAGGTTGCCGGCTTGAGCCTTACAATGAATCCACTGAGAGATATCATCAAACAGTTCAGTTAGATAGGCCCCAGTTTGCTCTAATGAAGTGTTTCTCAACCCTGATGCGGGAGTACTTCCAACAGTGCACATTTTGGATATCTCCTTATCAAACACACCTGATTTGACCAATCAGCTCATTAGTGCGTCAGATAAGGGAGACAACCTAATGAGCTGATGACCTGAATCAGGTGTGTTCGATTAAGGAGACATGCAAAATGTCCAGGAACAATTGCTCTAGAGCAGGGGTGTCCAGTCTTGCTCCTGCTGGGCCACTGTCCTACAGAATTTAGCTCCAACCACAATTAAACACACCTGAACCAGCTAATCTAGGTCTACTTGAAACTTCTAGGCAGGTGTGTTGATGCAAGTTGGAGCTAAACTCTGCAGAACAGTGGCCCTCCAGGACCAAGTATGGACTAATGATGTCTGATTCATTTCTGCAAACCGGTTCTTTTCGGACAGATCGGCTCATTGAATCGGTTCAAAAAGCCGATTACCTGATTTGACCAATCAGCTCATTAGTGCGTCAGATAAGGGAGACAACCTAATGAGCTGATGACCTGAATCAGGTGTGTTCGATTAAGGAGACATGCAAAATGTCCAGGAACAATTGCTCTAGAGCAGGGGTGTCCAGTCTTGCTCCTGCTGGGCCACTGTCCTACAGAATTTAGCTCCAACCACAATTAAACACACCTGAACCAGCTAATCTAGGTCTAGTTGAAACTTCTAGGCAGGTGTGTTGATGCAAGTTGGAGCTAAACTCTGCAGAACAGTGGCCCTCCAGGACCAAGTATGGACTAATGATGTCTGATTCATTTCTGCGAACCGGTTCTTTTCGGACAGATCGGCTCATTGAATCGGTTCAAAAAGCCGATTCATCGGTTCCTGACGTCATCAAGCAGTATGTCCCTATGCATTTCTTTTCTAACTCAGTGCCATGTTGTATCAATGAAAAATTCAAATCAGTAATTTGTGTGAACGCATATTGCTGATTATTGCCATATAATTCACTTAAGTTAATGGTGTTTGTGGTCAGTTTCATTCGCGGATCCTTTATGTCAGATACGACTGATTGACCAATATTGACTAGTCTACAACTCTGATAAGATTCCTAAAAGTTTCACACCTACAGCACATATTACAGACATTGATGCACAAAAATTAATTTATAATTAATTTTCAAACGCAGATATGTTCTACATGTCTAAAGTATAAAGAAAGAATAAGCCAGTCTTATAAACTCCTTGATTTCGCTTAAGGAACTTTAAATATAATATGCATGCACAATAAACTATAGTAAAATTTATTTACATCACTCGACAAAAAGGTTTTTGCAAGTTTTAATAAAATTTAAATTAATAAGTCATATTAAGCATTTCCAGTACACGCCTCAGGCTTGCACAGTATCGTCAACTCACTCATCAGAATCTTCTGTAATCCTCGGCAAACTTCCCCACGGCTCATTCGGTTCTTGTTGAGTCCTCGGTAACTCTCGGCAAACTTCGACAATTGGTTGAACCGGCTAAATCAGTTCTTTTTGAGTTGGACGTGCTACTTCGGCTGTGCGTCCTCATCAACCCGGAACTAAAGTTCGATTCAGTTCGATTTGTGAACCAGCTCGACCGGTTACTTCCTGAGAACCGGCTCAAAGGAACGATTCGTTCAGGAACCGAATATCACTAGTATGGACACCCCTGCTCTAGAGGGATTGTCCCAGGAATAAGTGTACTTTAGGTAGCTTAACATAAAAATGTCTACTAAAATGACTACTTCTAAAATTAAATCTTACTGACCTGAAATCAGTAGTCAGATCGTGTTAGCTAGATATCTAGCAGATACTTTATCCAAAGTGTCTTGCAGTACGCTTACAACATGAACAGTGCATGCTACCCTGACTTTAACTGTAACTTGAATTTTAACCTACAAACTTTGGATAACTGGTTTAGGACTTTTAGAACAATTACCTACCATATTTTACCCTGATCAAGTTACATTTCTTATGTGTTATTGCTATGAAAATTCTCTGTAAATGTCAATGTTTTCTTTTAACAGTTCATTGTTCTGTTCGTGGTGAAGGCCCTGACGGGCCAGATGACGGAGGTAAATGACGTCCGGGAGTACGAAGATGAGAACCTAAAGGAGCAAAAAGACACTAATGATCCGATGTCTACTGAAGGGTAAGCAAAGAAATGCAGCAGTCGGTGGTTAGCGCAGGTTTACAGCATGTGCATGTAACCAAGAGGAAGTCGTGTGGTCAGCTAGCAGTTCAGGCAGAACTGAGACCTGTAAAGTCAACTACCTTGATCGACTTCTTTTGAACCAAAATGTTTTTGCCTATTCCTAATAGTATTTATAATTTTTACAGTGGTGTAGGCAACAAGTGCACTTGACCCATAAATGTGCTCATTCCAACATGACCTGAAGGCAGCATAATGTTCCATTTCTTTGAAAATGCAGTTTTGCTTTACTAAAATATAGCGCTAACTAGGACCAGAAGAGTATATAAAACAAGGCTATATTAGACACTTGATTTGTGCTTAATCTGGGCCCCTTTAAAAGTTTCACAGTTGGGCAGTGTTTTATTATAGCTTTCGATATACTAACCACTAAGACCGCTTTGTTCCACGCACCTTATGACAGCAATAGCTGTAGGTTTAGGGCAGGGATCCTCAAATCTGGCCCACGAGATCCACTTTCCTGCAGAGTTTAGCTCTAACCCTAATCAAACACACCTGAGCATGCTAATCAGTGTCTTCAGGATCATTAGAAAATCACAGGTAGGTGAGTTTGATCATGGTTGGAGCTAAACTCTGCAGCGCATTGGCCCTCCAGGGCAAGATTTGAGGAACCCTGGTTTAGGGTAACGCAATCGGGGATCACGGAGTGTGACGGTCTGTTTCGACCTGATCTGTGAGACGTGGAGATTGGATGAAAGTGCCGTCTCCTGTATATGTGACAAGCCTCATGGCATTAGTCCTGTCCTTATCTCTCAGACCTTGAAGTGAAGTGATATCCGACCATGCCACATGCATCCTGCGATCACATCCTTAAAGCCTGACAGTGTGCTTTTCACCTTTCTTCCTTCCTCTTAGGAAACACGTGCAGAACGGGATCACCAAGAAGAAACATCTATAATGTCTAGGTGCTGCCACCTGCAGGCACTTAACGATGACTGCAAGGTACTTATGTGAACTAGTTTGATTCTAACCTCAGAACGGCAAGGTGCTTGGACAGTCATAAGAAGAAACAATATCGACCATCATTTGCATTTTATCTTGATTATTATAATTGTAACTGATATTATAATTGTAATCATAGCACTGTGAATGTTACTTGTTATCTGTCTTGTGCATTGCTTAATTATTATTTTTTTTAAGTTAAATGAGTGACCTCTCATTAATTGTTAATCAGGAACTTGCGGTGGGAGTGCCTGATATCTCTGCCGGTGAGAAACAAACCCATGCATTTTGGAGAACGGCGGAAACCATGATAAATCGGTTTTGTGGTCATCATCTGGGACCACAGTTTGTTTTAGATTTAGACCACTGTTTTTTGTTGTTCTGATGTATTTTTCATTCCATGAGTGAAAGAATTAAAAAGGGTTAATACGTAACTTGTGGTAGGTGAGTACTAGTGGAGTGGTTCTCAAATAGTGGGTCGAAGGTCTGATCTGAAAAGCAATGGAAACGGTAGAAGTGTATAATGTTAAATGCAAATGATAAAACGCAATAAACTATGTAATAACACACAGTTAAGGCAGTATATGAAACAAATTCTTACCATATCTTTTGTTGTTGGCATCAAAGGGCAGGTTGTGCATCAAATCACACCCAATGATATTTCGGCAGAAATTCATGTATATTATTAGTAACTAGCCAATTAGGACATATGCCAGTCTCTTGAAAACCATAAATAAAATCTTGCATGGTTAAAAACTACAAAACAAACATTCAGAATACAATACTGGCATACAAGAATAAACAGTTTGTGCAGAAGTCATGTTAGATATTCTGCATATTAAAAACTAATCAAAATAAAGTGACTTTATGCTTAAAAAAAGAAGGGGAAAAAAGCCAATTGAAACTTGTCCTTTTGAAATAAGTTTATTTTTCTGATCTTATTGGCTGATATTTTATCTTGTCTAAAGTAAAAAAAAAATTCAAGTAAAAACTAAAATTTTCAGAAAACAAGACTTCATATTGTGTCATTTAATGTACCTTGATTTAATAATGTTTTTAGACGTGTACTGGAAAACAAGACAAAAATATCCATCACTTCCGCAGTGTGGCCTTAAGAAGTTCATTGTAATATTAATACATTTCAAGTTTAGGTAATTTACAAGAACTATGTAAAATCAGTATCCTGAAGCAAAACCAGTTGAGAACCACTGTACTAGTTAAAGTTGTCTACTAACACCCTATGCAGGGTTACAACCACAAATTAGCCTGGCCTGCATCAATCAAAATCGCATTTGTACAGTATTACTGTTTTTTTAATGTACAAGGGAATCACTTTCAATGTTTGGATTAGAAAATACTGCTTGCATTCCTTTTCGTGGAATTTTTTTCCCATGCTAGCATCTCTTGCTGTAATGGCGCAATCTAAGCTAGCTTCTGATTGGCTAAAAACTCTACACTCAGATGCTATATCGTGTTTGTTTTGGATAAATATGAATCGAAAACGTAACGGTAGTTGATCGTGGATGTTTAGTCAGTCCGACATTTTTTGCTACCTACTCAAATTAACCGAAGTATTTATGCAGATGTTGTATTCAGGAACGCATGATATCTGAGAATATGCTTTATATGAAGAAATTGTACAACAAAAGACTAAATGGAACTGATATGATTTGTCGTGACCTATTGATAACTCCAAAACGAACACAATACTTGAATAGATGATTTGCCTACTGTATCAAAAGTTCCCTCCCTGTTGAAAAAAAACAGCATATGCTGGTTAGGTATGTTTTGATGCTGGTCCTTTGCTGGTTTAAGCTGGTCCTTTGCTGGTTTAAGCTGGTCCTTTGCTGGTTTAAGCTGGCCCTTTGCCAGCACATGACCAGCACAAACCAGCAAAGGACCAGCATAAACCATCATCCCAGCATCAAAACATACCTAACCAGCATATGCTGTTTTTTTTTTTCCAAACAGCGTTTGTGGATGAAACTCATAATCTTCACGCACAAATGCTGATGAGATGTTGCTGTGGTCATGTCTTCCGCTCGTGTTGCTAGCTTGAGCTAAGAGCTAGCAGTTTATATTTTTGGATGTTTTGTTTTTGCGTGAAATATTCCTTAACGCAATTTAAAGCTGCTTTTTTTTCCTATGTACACGTTCATTATTTATACAGCAGCCGTGTACTATGGTACTGTCGAATGAGTTTAGTCAGTTTCTACTGGTCTGTAGTTATTTTTACCTGTCACTGTCAAATCACTGGACAAAAACATTGCCGTTAAATACAGCTGTGGCTAGATGGTAACCCTCATTCTGTGAACTTTTTAAGAGTTTGCTTGGAGACAAAATTCAGGTTACCAACTAGCAATAACAGTTCAATTTCACCATACACTCCATTGGTTATGAAGAATCATTGGTTTTCTGTAAGTTCTGGATTGTTTGTTATTCATAGTGGAAATAATTTTATCACATTGAGAATATAATCAAAATGTGTTCATTTTCTAGAAAAGTGCCAAAAATAAATATCAAACCCCTGGTAATCAAAAAAACAACATTAAGTTTGAGGTGTTTTTGCCTGGGGTATTTTGCTGTATCTGGGTTATAAAATGTTATTTAATTAAAATTGCACTGTAATTTCTTACTACTGTTTTCTCCCGTTTCAAATATATTTTAAATATAGTAACTAAGGGATTTATACAGATTAATTTAACATGGAAAAAATAAGTTATTAGATTTGTTTAAACTTTTCTTGGACCATTTATTCACTCTTTTCCTTGATTTTGATCGGACCACTAGGAGTGACAGGTATTATCTCATTTACAAATGGAACAATTTTAATAATTCCATTTGAATTAGTGAATTGAAAGCAACTGAGTTGTCGTGTTTTTTCCCATTTAATAAAAACTGTTCAAAGAACACAACTGCAGTATATTCTTAATTCAACAAAAACCTTTATTTTTCTTCTTCGCCCTTAAGAATCAAGTTCATGTACCTCTGATTTGCAAAGTTAAATCGAGTTTGGAGAAAGAAAAAAAAAATTTAATCAGTGCATGTCGAAGCATATCAGCTTCCATAAATAACAAATAGCAAATTTGTACCACGCTGCTTCCCAATAAATAGCGAAAGCAGAAGTGAACATCGGATGTCAAAACCACAAGTGGAATTAGGACTGAAGAAAGAAATGGGAGTTATAAAATGTCTCAAGAATTATGGAACAATTAATATTAGTCTTTTGACAAAAAACTTGAGGATAAAAGAATCAGCAAAACATGAAATGCCAGGTTACCAAACATTACAATATATATATATATATATATATATATATATAAAATACTCGCTCCAAAGAGAATCAGCAGTTTGAGTTGAGACTCGCGCAAGCGCATGACGAAGATTGAGGAGCATTGACAGACTTCAACTCAACCAGCAATGATTTTTGCCCACTTTGTAGTAGCTGCCAGTGAAGACTAACCACACGAGGAAAAAGGTTTTCAGCAAACACTGCTTAGGAGTACAATCCATAATGGACGCAAGAAGGGCACATTTTATGACATTACATGGGAACTGATTTGTTTGCGATTTATATTGAAATCGACTTCGTTTGAGCAATTACGGATTGTATTTTTAAGGACGCAGGACTTGAGGCAACGCTGAGACAAGGAAGACTTGAAACGCTAGCGGAGATGTAGTGGATGAAACTCTTGGCATGGAAATCAACGTTCATTCTCCGAAAACTAAATCAAACCAACTAGTGAAATAAAGAATGCAAACACACTCTTGGCTCTGCTGTGAGACCCCGGCGGCCCCTCGTATTGCAGGTGCATGAAGAGACTGTTGCGGTTTAGTGCTGTTTGACCCGAGGAGCTGTGACTCTACGCAGGAAACCGTACAGAAGTCCAAAATTCTGCAGGAAAACAAGAATTTCATCTTACAAATATGGTAATTAAATACATATTACAAACTATTAAACAATAAATAGTTCTTTGAAATAAGACAAATGTTAACTGAAAAAAAATATATAATGTCATTTTTAATATAAATATAAAATATGAAACTACAAAAAAGTAACTATATAGCTAGTTGCTAAGAAAATGTTTCTCATTTCCAGTAAGTTTAACGATGTACTAAAAAAATTAAATCGAAATACAAATACAATAAGCTATATAAACAATAACAAAAATAAGCTATATAAACAAAAACCTAAAACAATACCAGAATGATAAAATAAAATGATATTAAAATGATACTCAAAGATACAAACTATATTCTATTATAATAATGAGAAGTAGAGGAAATGTACTTAAGTGAAAATATGAACATAATAGGAAAAATAGTTTTTATTAAAGTAAAAAGAAAAAGGTTTTATTAAAAAAATAATTCCTATAATATTATAATAACAAAAATATAAATAAAATAAGATATAAACCGAAATGGCTAAAATAAATACAAAATATTTTTTGCTTGTGATTTTGGGGTGATTTTTCAATTATATAATTCATGAGTAGAGTGAAAAGAAAAGAAAAATCACTGCACTAAAATAAAATAAATCAAATGTGTTAAAATTAGTCTGAATGTGTGTCTTACCTGTACAGCCAAATACAGCACTCCGAGGTAAGATGCGATACACACAGCTAGCAGCAGGTCAAAGATAGCTGGTTTTACCCTGGTTCGTTTCAAATACAACAATCATTCAAACACCGTTTTTAACCCTGGCTTAAGCATCGTTTCATTCTCGTGCAAGTTAAACGGGGGTCAATTATTTATGGAAGCCCGTTTCCGCTGCTAAATAAAAATTAAAACAAGGCAATTGTGACTTTTTATCTCACAATTCTGACTTTATAACATGCAATTGCAAGTTATAAAGTCAAAATTGCGAGTTATTATAAAAAAAAATAAAAAAATCAGAATTGTGAGATAAAAAGTCGCAGTTATCTTCTTTTATTTTTTATTTAGTGGCGGAATCGGGCTTGCATAATTATTAATATTATTAACTTCATAAAAATGATTTACAAATGTAAACCTTGAAATCTGGGTTCAATTCAATACTAACCTGAGTTTAATTATGAAATATGAAACAATATCTCATAATGTTTAAAATAATCCAAAATGAACAAAGTTTGACTAGTACGCTGCAAATTTAAATGTCAATAAACATTACAGAATAACTCACCTATAAGCATTCATGGTCTGCTTGAGTTGATCATAAAAGACAAATTCAGGGTCCCTGTCAAAAAACAAAACAATGATTAAGCTCTGAATATTCATTTCCACTCAACATGGGAT